GCTTGATACAGCACTGAATTTGGATTGTGATTTAATATTTGACACAGCATAGGTTTCTGACACAGAATGAATGTGGTCTAAGAACTTAAAAATTTTTAATTTACCTATTCAAACCATATCATTATTATTTGCTTTTATATATAAATCAGAAATAACCAATTTAAAATGGAAAATTTTAAAGAAAAAAAAATTCCCTTCCCTTAATTTTTTGAACCCCCTTATGATTCATCACCCCCAAACTTAATCCCAGCCTTCCCTTTGTGGTATGGTACCTTGCAGTACAATTTCAAAGAGATCCATACACTTGAACACAAGTTATTGTCTGGAAACTAGAAAAATGCTTGTTTTTAGGCCCCTTTTTGGCCCCAAATTTTTTAATGTTTAGGGCAATTACCCCCAAACTCAAACCCAGCTTTCCTTTTGTGATATGGAACCTTGTAGTACAATTTCATAAAGATCCATACACTTACACACAAGTTATTGTCCTGAAACTAGAAAAGTGCTTGTTTTTGCCCCTTTTTGGCCCCCAATTCCTAAAATTTTGAGGCAATTACCCCCAATATCAATCCCAGCCTTCCCTTTGTGGTATGGTACCTTGCAGTACAATTTCAGAGAGATCCATACACTTGAACACAAGTTATTGTTTGGAAACTAGAAAAATGCTATTTTTGGCCCCTTTTTGGCCCCTTATTCCTAAACGTTTTGGGCAATTACTGTGGATTCATTTATTTTCGTGGATACCAATTTTCGTGGATTGAGGAAAACTAGCATTTTCGTGGATATTTAATTTCGTTGTTTTGACAAAGTCTGCATACATTTCTTTAGAAAACTTGTAATTCGTTGAACATTTAATTTCGTGGTTCCACTGTACCCACGAAATCCACGAAAATTGGTATCCAACGAATATTAATGAATCCACAGTACCCCCAAACTCAATTCCAGCTTTTCTTTTATAATATGGAACCTTGTACTTCAATTTCAGAAAGATCCATACACTTACACACAAGTTATTATCATGAAACTAGAAAAATGCTTGTTTTTTGCCCCTTTTTTGGCCCCTTATTCCTAAAATTTTGAGGCAATTACCCCCAAAATCAATCCCAGCATTCCCTTTGTGGTATGGAACCTTGTGGTACAATGTCAGAGAGATCCATTCACTTAAACTAAAGTTAGAGTGCGAAAACCAATGTGTCTTCGGACGACGACGACAACAATGACGCCAACGTCATACCAATATACGACCAAAAATTTTTTTATTTTTGCGGTCGTATAAAAAGCGGAATATAGTGATAATATTTTGCTATTGCCCGTCAATATCGTCAAAATCAGCTAAAAAAACATCCTTGATGTATTATTGACTCGAAGTCAATAAATCAACCTCATTTGAATCCATATTCATGTAACCTTTAACTTGAACTTTAGTGGAGATGGGTTACAAATGAGTTCAGCATGTGGTTCATTCATTAAAAAGAAAACAATGTCTACATTGAAAAATGAAACAAGAGAGACACCAGGAATAACCATTTCTATGACTCATCTGGCCAACAACAAATCTTTCTTATACAGGTAAAACAATGATATACATATATTTTTAATATTCAACATGAAAACAAACAGACTTAGTAAAATCGTCATTATACGATTTTACGTGCTTGACTATTTATTTATATATATATTAATATTGGGTTATATGACCGTCTGTAGTCTTTGAAGGTCACCTCGATACACAATTAGATGGCTCTAGTCTAAAATACACATGAAATGCTGATACATTATAGTGAGTACATTCATTGTTAATTGTTTCTTTTGGACTTTTTTTAATTTCACTATACATTTTAGCATGTTATAATTGCATGAGAATTTGGGTCAAATCTGTGAACATGAATATGACAGCTAATACCCCTTTAACAGAGATATTATATATGAAAAACCATTTTGCCTTTCACAGCTCCCATTAGAGCTAGAAGCACTTGAAATGATACCAATTTATAAAGGATATTAAGGGAGAAATACTGTTTGGAAGTAGATACAACATCTGAGAAATGTTTTTTTAACACTACTTATATATTCACCTGACAGTTTAATGGTTAAATGACTTATTACTACAGTGTTTATAAGTTTATAACATATAAAAAAATATTTTAAGGTACCTGTGGTTCATTTCTGACAAATGATACTCAACTTTTGTTTTTAACTGAACATGTTTTCAAGATCTCAGTTTATAAAGAATTTTCATAAATCAATTAACCTATTGAATCTTTTTAAGGTAAAATCAACATATGACCTTTCAAATCACTGAAGTTCTGTTAATAACCTTGCCATTTGAATAATATCATTACCATTTATATGTATTTTCGCAGTGGCGGATTTACCGGGGGGGCACAGGAGGCACGTGCCCCCTCAGTCGGGGTCACCAAATAATTTTCTAACATAGTTTTATTGCTACTGTATCTGCTTATCTAGATATCTAGATCTAAAATCAAGACACAACTTGATCTGACTTCCTAAACTGGTCGTTAATTAACCCCAGCTTCAACATGCGTGATTTATGACAACTTATCGATGGGTGTGTAAATATTGACACCTTTGTGTAATGTCTATATCCAAAAGCATTTATGTAAACTACATGTACATCTACATGCTGATTGGAATTAATACGAATATATTTATTGATTTCTAATACAATATTACAGGATCAAGATCGATTAACAAGAGAAATCTTCTGATCAGGAAAGAAATTACCAACTAAAATCGGTCTGAAAAGAATATGTAAAAATAGATGTTTTGTGTCAGGAATGTTAGTATCGATATGAGATACGTCTTTATTACCAAGCACTCACATTGTATACGGTTTCTGGGAAATGTGTCTTTCTCAGAACAGTCTTTTTCGGACTTTATTAAACAACAAACGATTTTTTTTCAATGCATACAGCTTTTTTTTAAACTGAATGTCGTGTTTTTTCCCTTTATTTTTTTTATGGAAACCAATGATTTGTCTTTAAAAAAAAACCTTAAGTCCCCCTCCACAAAACATGAATGGTCTGTGCCTTATATATATATCATTAATAAAATGATATTGTACTTTTAGAAAACCTATACTCATATTTGAGATAAAGAACAGCAATAAAAGCGCTGTTCCTTTGCTTATTGTGTGTTTTTTTGCTGTGCATGTACTGATTTTGTGTCATGGATGGATACCCAATATCCATTCTTTTTCTATTATAGTACAGTAATATGTGTATACACATTTTTTTCTTGTTTTAATTACCATGTATGAGGGTATGAATAGGTTACCATGAATGGTTTACCGTGAATGAGGGTATGAATGGGGTTTACAGATTAGAGAATAATGGTCATAAAGTAAAGACTAGAAAAAAATGTGCCCAAAAAATATAGAAAACAGATTAAAGGTGTGATGAACTATAAAGAATAGAGGACAATTGGCAGCAAATAAAAGAGTAGAAAGAAATGGATCCAAAAATACTGAAAAGATATAGAAATGAAGACCTAACCCCCCCTTTCCACGACCACCATCATCCCCAATACATGACACCACCACCACCCACACTCGCATATATACATATCTAAATAAATCTTTAATTTTGGTTTCATGGTGCCCCCCAGACTTCGAGGTTCTGGATCCGCCCCTGTTTCGTATCATAAACCATTAGTTACCTTGCCATTTAAAAACATATTAGATATTTAGTTTTTAATATACTTTAGGGAACATCTATTTGAATGCTGGTAAAATGAAGTGATATCTATTGATTTGTACAAATTAGCAAATCTAATCAATAAATACAGACTCCCAGGAGATATTAATTAAACAGACAAAAGTTCTCATAATGTGTAAAACTATAAAGGGACAAAGGTTAAATAAATTTACAAACTTTATAAAAAAGTTTGTAAGTTGTAGGTATAAAACTGCAGTAGGACTTTTTGATACATCCAAAAGTATTCCAAACAGATATATATTCTTAAACTAGAGGCTCTAAAGAACCTATGTTGCTCACCTGGTCCTAGGTCGTCTTCAACAATGGTGATAGACAATAATTCACGATTAAAATCTCTGTTTTGCTGATCTTGTATTGCTGATCATTTTTAGTTTGTTTACTTTCACTCTATCTGCTATAGTTTTTGCTTAAAAAATGGATTCAAGGACAGTAACTCCTAAAGGAAGTGGACTGACAATTTCGGCTTTGTTGACCTATTTATTAACCATTTTTTACTGATAGTTCTTAATGTTTACATTTTTCTTCATCTTCTTAATTTTTTGCACAAACACACAAAAAAGCGTAAAAAATAATTGTCTGTTAAGAGCAATAACTCCTATAACACATGTATAAGGAGACAACTGACAATTTCGGCTGTTCTACACATTTATTGTCTTGCTGATCATTTTTGCTTTTTAAAGTTTCTCACTATTTAATAACATTTTCAAGATAATAGGCAAAAATGCAAAAAAAGGGTAAATATCATCAATTAAGGGCAATAACTTCTTTAAGAAGTTGTCGAACAGTTTTGATGTAAATGGACAGTAGGTAGATTTCAAAATTCTGAACTTTTTTTGGGACAAGTGGGATTTTATGTATCTATAGCGGTTTTCAAGATATTTGACAAAACTGGCATTCTACCTTTAAATCTATTATTAGCTATGTGAGTTATGTTGGTTGGCAGGTGGGAACATCAGACAAATTTTCCAAATTAGATACCCCAATGACGATTAATTGTGGCCAACTTTGGTTCCAATTGGCCCAGTAGTTTCAGAAAAGAAGGTTTTTGTAAAATTAATGGTCGATGACGAACAACTACGAGGACAGACGCCAATAGATGAGAATAGCTAACTTGATCCTTTGGATCAGATGAGATTAAACTGTTAATCAAATGAATGAAAGAGTAAAAATATTAAAACAAATTGTCCATCAAAACTTCACCAAACAGAATTTATTATTTACCCAAGTTTCAATATATTACATGTGCATTGGTTTCTCCATTATTACCTTTTGAGCTGGTGGTTTTGGTTGAGAAGGTCTACTAGATGTTGGAACTGCAGGAGGAACTGATGGTGTTGGTCTCCCAGGTGTGGGTCTACTAGGAACTGGAGGAGGCGGGAATTCATCATCAGCTGGCAATGGCTGCAAATGCAAAAATATAAACAGTACATCAATGCTGAAAGTATAATCGTCTAACAACACTGGTTGTAGAGGTCAAATTTACATCATGTTTTTACGAGCCCACCCTTATCACAGGCATGTTTGTATTTCATTTTTTAAGGGAGTCAGGTGATGGCAGTTGGTATAAATCCCCAATATCTAGCTCTCCTTACAAGGCAAACAACAACAGATAGACTCTTGGTACAGGCACGAATTGCGGTTTGGTTAAATCAATTTTATGTAGGGATGTTCTGGTGATCCATTATACTGTAAAACAACTAATTTTCGCGAGCGATTTATTTTCGCGACTTTTGCGAGTAGAAAAATAACGCGAATATAAATCGTTGCAAACATGTAAAACTTGGATCTTTCCTTATTAAACAACAGCAAGTAAATTTGAAAATCGCGAAATCGGCTAGAAAAGACTTAACGTGAAATAAAGTATCCACGAAAATAAGTTGGTTCACATTAATTAAAAATCAGGCAGTTGAGGCAATCCAAGTAGATAATCAATTGTAAAATTTCATTATACATTTTTCACATTTGTGGATTATAATCAGATGTAAATATATACTCTGAAAGGCTTGAAGTTACTTTTTATGAATATTTGCTGCAAATATGCCCTCAAGGCCAAGCTGTTTTATTGCGTCACTTTTTGAACAAGCACAAAATAAATGATCTGGTCGCCTTTAAGTTGAAAATAGATATTCTGACCTCATCAAATTTGCCAGGCATCTACTCGGAATTAAGTGGTCGTCACCTAATGTGTATTGAAATATTTCATTCTCATAGGGTATAATACATTTTCAAAGTATCGTTAAATAGAATGTGACTGCCTTGAAAATATGAAAATGGCTAACACAGTAAAACTGTATAACTAAGCATTATTAAATTGTAAAGGACAGGAAAATGGAGCAACAGTCAAGTTCATTGAAAATCAAAGTGCTGGATAGCACCTGTGGAAAGTTTTGCAACGGTAGATGTGTATTATTTCAAATAGGTTGTAGATGTGTATTATTTCAAATAGGTTGTAGATGTGTATTACTTCAAATAGGTTGTAGATGTGTATTATTTCAAATAGGTTGTAGATGTGTATTATTTCAAATATGTATTTAATCACAGCTTTGGTGTTTTCCCTAAACCATTGTCTCATCAGCAATTTTCATAAATCACTTTTTTCATATGTTTGTCATGTAAAATTTTGATAATTTCTATTGCAACCTTAAACTGTAGATTTAAAATAATCAAATATACAGAAAGCTCTGTTAATTTCTTTCTGTGCCCATCCCATGTAAAGGGCCTGAGATTAAGTATTTTTTTATTGATTAAGGTCCTTCATATTTGTTTGTAGTAAATTGTATTATTACTAATTAAGCAGTTAGTTTTCTTGTTTGAATTGTTATATATTGAACAAACTCGGCTTAAAATTAGTAGATTGTGTAATTAACGTTTTTTCCGACTTCTAAATTTTTTTCTTAATACAATAATTGTAACAGGATGCTGTTACGAAGTCTCCCAAACAAAGCTCCCATAATTAGTCATTCCTATGGTCGCCTGACATTGGGCAAAGTCAAGTACAAATTGGTTTGGTCTAGTAAAGTGATATGCATAAGTGACGCTTAGGGATTAACCCTGTTTGTCATTCAAATCTTCTTGAAATCATGAACAGGAATATATATGGTTTAGGGGTGGGGATCTCGACCGTTTACAAGTTCTCAAAAAAGGGGGGGTTGATTCAAGAATATATATGGTTTTGGGGTGGGGATCTCGACCGTTTACAAGTTTTCAAAACGAAGGGGGTGGGGGTGACCCCCAGGGACTCCCCCTATATTTCATTTGATTTGTTTTATTGTCCCATACAAGAATATATATGGTTTCAAGGTGGGGATCTCAACCGTTTACAAGTTCTCAAACAGGAGGGGGTGGGGTGACCCAGAGGGACTCCCGCTATATTTCATTTGATTTGTTTTATTATCCCATACATGAATATATATGGTTTAGGTGTGGGAATCTTGAATGTTTACAAGATAAAAGCCCATTCTCAAATTGAAAGGGGGGGGGGTTGGCCCTAGGGACTCAACCTATATTTCATTTGATTTGTTTTATTGTCCTGTGATCATTACTGAAGACAGCGTGTCTATCACTCACTGTTCTCAAGTTATAGTCATTTGAAAATTTAAAAAAATAAAATCCCATAGGGTTCTTTAGTAAATCCCTCCCTTCTGTAGGCCCCTTAAAATACCCATAAATAGACCCCAAGAAGAATAAAATGCTTCTCTGAGCGCAGCTGGATACCACCGCAGAGGTCCAACCCTGAACGGTTGGGGCGAAAATGGACACAATATTCACGCTTGATACAGGTCTGAATTTGGATTGTATTTAAATATTTGACACATAATAGGTTTCTGACACCAAATAACTGTAGTCAAAGAACTTAGAATTGGTTATATGATTTGAATTTATATTCAATTTTTGCTTTTGTGCAATAATGCTGTTGCATATTGACCCCCCCCCCCAAAAAAAAAAAAAAAAAACTTTTTTTTTACCCCCCCCCCCCCTTTTTTTTTTTAAATATTTGAAGAAATTTTCCTTTTAATTTCTGAAATTTAAAATGAAAAAAAAAATTTGCCCCCCACAATTTCTTTTGTACCCCCCCCCCCCCTCCCCCCCCCCCCCCCTTTTTCCAAAAAAAAAATTCTTTCCCTCAAGATATGGTCATGATCTCAATTCAAATTTCCAATGGAGTTTGCAAACATAATTATCAATTTAAATACATCATAAAAGTCTTAAATAGATAATTTAAAAGCAGGGTAAGGGAGGTAATCCAACATTGTACAAAATTGTACAATTTTGTTTTTGGATTACCTCCCTTACACTGCTTTTAAATTGTCAATTAACCAGGAAAGCCTTATTTTTTCCCCTTTTTTGCCCATAATTCCTAAACAGTTTGAGCCATAACCCCCAAAGCCAATCCTAACCATCCTTTTGTGGTATGGAAACTTGTGTTATAATTTCAGAGAGATCCATACACTTAAACACAAGTTATTGTCTGGAAGTAACAAAAATGCTTATTTTTGGCCCCTCATTCCTTAACTGTTGGTACCATAACCCCCAGAATCAATCCCAACCTTACTTTAGTGGTATTGAACCTTATGGTGAAATTTCATAGAGATCCATTCACTTAAACTAAAGTTATTGTGCGAAAACCAAATGTCTTCGGACGACTATGACGACCATGCCAACGTCACACCAATATACGATTGCAAAATTTTTTTGCAGTCGTATAAAAATGATAAGAACTGAGCAAAAACAATACTTAATAACAAATAGTATATACGAATTTTGTTATAGTCCGATTTTGTAATAGGCCGAGTTTGTTATAGTCCAAGATGAGATACCAGATTACTTTCGATACACTCAGGCTTTTATGTCTTTAATTAACATTTGTATATATAATCGTAGTAAAAAAAGCGTCGAAAAATGTTCATTCATGAAATATTTTAAACACAGTATTTATTTTCTCTTCAACCGGAGGACGGGAGGAAACCCTTGAAAATGGGATTATTGTACTCCCGTCGGGAGGTATACATATATGGATCTCACACATGTCTGAGGAATTCCGATAAAAGCATAACGTAGAAACTGCTGTCTCGTGTAGATGTGTATTGATTTTAATTTCCGTGCAGCGCAGATCAAGGACGTAGTGTTTGTGATAGCTATTTTCAAAATGAAGTTAAATTCATTTGAATTATCGATGAACATTCAGTACATTTTTATTCAAGCTGTAAGCTAATCAAAATAGAAGTAACTCAAAATTTCAAAAGCATCTTCCTAGAATTAGTATTCAAACACTAGTACTACATTATCTAGGAGTAGAACACTTGCAATAGTCTGTCCAACTTCCGGTTTGAGGCTGATGCCTTAGGAAAGTATATTGCTATAGCAAACTTTCCAAAATCCACTAGCTCCTTGAGCTTGGGTGTAATGAAACTTATAAGACACATTCTAAGAAAACACTGAAACTGAAATAAGATACAAATAGAAATAAGAAGATGTGGTATGAGTGTATGTATAAAACTTTTCCTTGTTTTTCAAGATTTCAATAATACGATTCGTCGAATATATCTATTTTTCACATAAGTACCTACTGTTGACGTTCTTATTTATTAATACAAAGAATAAGTGTCTACTTGAAAATAAGCACCATGTAAGACATTTTTAAGTTTTAGCACAAAATATATGGATGGGAATTATAAATGTAAGTAAAGTGACCTGATCTACTTGAATAATTTGGACTTTACCCCTTTCCCCTTTAGGTAAGTGGTCTTACAGAAATGAAACAGGAAAATGAATGTACTGAAAACTCAGTCCATATATGTGTAATGATTATTCACTTCACAATAATACTGTGACTTACAGGTGGTGCTCTCCTTGATGGAGCTATGCCATCTGGTAGGGGTAACTGACGTCTCGCCATCAAAATCTACCTATAAAGTAAAAAAAAAAAACATGTTTTATTTTTATCCAATTTTATCAAAATTGGTTGCTCACCCAATTTTGTCAATATAATGGAACTATATATAAACAACTGTCATACAAGTGGGAGGTTTAGCAAGCTATACAGTGTTCAACTCACCACTTTCATCAGAAAATGCATGTATCAAGTAAGGAATATGGCAGTTGTTTTTCACTTGTTCCATTTATTGATAGCTTTGATATGTCAGTTCTTATGGACTTTGCCTTGGAGTTAGGTATTTTTGTTACATTTTTTTAACAATTATAAAAATAAAAAGATGTCCATCAACTGTTCTGTGTATCTTTTAGTCTTTCAATTTTGATAAGATTTCTCTGCAATCAAAGGGCAGGGTGGGTTAAGGGCTTAATTTAGCCTAAATGTTACTGAAATTTGAACTTTTAATCTAAGATTTCAATTTATGTCTGTTTTCAAGTTTTTGTGCAGCAAAATTAAAAATCAAGAGTTTGTTACCCATGACATCACAAAGTTCATCTATACATTTATTAACAAAAACTTTCATGTAAATAGTTTTGTGATACTTGCATGCGCTCAATATTTTCCAATAATAAATATGTGTAAAAATATGTTAATTTTGCCCATTTTATTAGAAACATAGGAATAACGACATCTTTATAGGCTATTCAATTTCTGTAAATATTCATGAAATTTCAAAGTTATTACAATTTAAACTTTTCTCATACTTAAGAGATTGCTGTAAACCAACTTATTTTCATGAGCGATATATTTTTTCGTGACTTTTGCCAATTGAAATTGTCGCTAATATATGAAATTGGGATCTTCCCTTATATAAATTAAATATATCAAGATAAAAATAAGATAGCGGAAATGAATTGCCACAAAGTCAGCTACCTCCTTTTACTATATTTCTTTGTTTACTTTCTTTAATCAATGAAGGACACCCATTGGAACTAACATTTAATCTGAATGGCTTTTAAAACACATGTTATAATCTGTGAGGTATTCTTTTTCATAGATACAAATTTCCTTTGATGTTTGGGCAAATTCTGCATAAATAAATTGGGAATGTGTCCATGGGACACAGATGATGCCCCCTCTTGCCTTCAACATTATAAAGGCAAGAACAATAAAAGTGACGCTACCCAATTTCATACTTGATCAGAGTTTTGAGGTAATAAGCATTGTGTATAAATTTCATAACATTTGGTTGAAGCAAATTTAATTTAGAGAACCAAAAATTCAGCAATTTTTCCATTTGTAAAGGAACATAACTCTAAGCATTGTGTATAAGTTTCATAACTTTGGAATTAAGGCAAACTGAAGTTAGAGAATGGAAACGAAAAATTTAGCAATTTTTCCATTTGTAAATGGGCATAACTCTAAGGTAAAAGTGATGCCACTTAAATTTAACTTAATCTGTGTTTTGTGGTAATAAGCATTGTGTATAAGTTTCATAACATTTGGTAGAGGCAAACTTAAGTTAGAGAACAGAAACCAATTTAGGGATGTATGGAAGAACAGACGGACAAGGGTAAAACTTAATGCCATCTCCGCTACAGCAGGGGCATAAAAAAGCCAGAGGGAAATTTGTAATGGCCAGAGCAGTTCACCTGGAACACAACAGTTATCATGAATAATCTCATGGCATAATCGTTGAAACAGATCATTCACAATGTTCTTAGGCTACATATTTTACCTTCAGTTTAACTTTATCAGAACCACATAAAGTAAGGAGATTGGGTATGATTGCCAATGAGACAACTATCACTCAGGACTCAGAATCCCAATTAATTGGATTAGATGGAAATAAACACCTGGTGAGTCATGTAACATTGTGGCAGACAAGTAAAGAATACACATGCAGAACTTGAAGCCAACTGTTAAACAATAATAACCTTTGAGAATTCTTCAAGAAGCACCTGTGCCATACCAAAAAGAGAAGAGGTCATTGAGTCAAAACATACCAGATACCACACAAGAGTGCACACTGTGAAATGTACCATCTGCTTTACTGATCATAATTGAAAACATGTTAAAAGTCTTAAAGAGAAAAAGGTTATACTACAAGTACAGTCGACACTCGTTATCTAGGAGTTAACTGGACCAGAGAAATATTTCAAGTTACCTGTAGTTCGACTCAAACGAATACAAGAGGTTTAACAGACCAGGGGATACATCTCTTGCTTAGCTTTGTAAAATAAATCCAGATGAATACATGTATGGGAAGGGAATCGATATATATTCTTGTCTGAAATCGATGTATCTATATGGAATGGTCTTTTTTTATTATAATAAAATTATATGCTTTTTTGTCTCTTATTTTTTTCTTCGTACAGTTACAACTTTTTCCCGTGATTTTTGGCCAAGAGAGTAATTTCCAATCGATTGTTAACTGTATTACATAAAATTAACATTTCGACTGATTCCATTTTTTCTCATCAGGAGTCGAAATACATATATTTATATGAAACAAAGTTGCTGACCACAGGAAAACTTTGACTCATCCAAAATTTCAAGTCCGAGATTGAACATAACTTAACCATGAAAACTTAACAATAACTAAACCATGAAAACTTAACAATAACCAATGACCATGATGACACATGAAAATGAGGTCAAGGTATGAAGACCCCAGTCAGACAGACATGCACACCTTACAATCATTCTATACAACATACATGTACATTTAATTTGTATATATTTGACTTATTGCTTAACCCTTTCGCCGATGAGTCCCCGTTTACCGGGATTCACGCTTCAGACAGCTGACAATGAGTCCCGTTTTACCGGGATCGGAATACCTATTTTATATTTCCCGCTCAACACAGTGCAAACACGAGTAATCTTTCTTTGTTGAATACCCGGATGAAAGTGTAAACATGGCGCTTCCGTTTGTTGAAAACCGTGTCAAAATCAGAGGAAATTTACGGAATTTACGAGAATTTGAAATGAGGGAACATTTTTTTTTAAAGAATATGGAAGAATTGAAGCCAAACTAGTATACTTTTTTGACATAAAATGTTGTTTTATGTACAAAACACTTGGAATGGACATCGTTCAGTGTAAGGAATTTGTACAGCCTCATTAAATTTTTCAAAATTTTGCCGCTTTGGGTTAAAAAATTACGATTTTGGGTCAAAGAGCAGAATTTTTGAGAATTTCACCTAGATAATGCCAAAAATTTGAAAATTGGAATATTTTATGAAGAAAAAATTACCAAAACATGAACAAAACTGTGAACATGGTGTTGGTGTCAATAGTGAATGAAATAAAGACACAAATAACTACAGACAAGTTTTTATTGACATTTATTATGAAGATCTCCCACTTGAGTAATAGTAGCCAGGGAAGCCATCGTCTCAGAGTAGCTTCTGTCTGGGCAGCTATCGGTGAAAGGGTTAAACATGTAGTATCTGAGAAACAAACTACAGCACAAAAATGTAGCATTGACCAATGAACCATGAACATGAAGTCATACTGTCAAGGTCAAATGAAACCTGCCACACAGAGTGATAGACATGTTCATCTTGCAATCATTCCATACACTAAATATACATTTGTTTTGTAGTTGACCTACTGCTTATTGTATCGTAGATACAGGCCTGACCAAGAAAACTTAACCTTGATAAGGCACTGATCCATGAAATTAATAAGGCTAAGATCTAATGAACCCTGTCTGAAGGATCTCATCTACAAAATGAAGTTATCCTATTACTCATAATAAGTGAGAAATTCACATGACAAATTGGTATAAAGCGGTCGCTGAACCACAAAAATGAGTTCAAGGACAATGGACATATGACAGACAGAAACTTTGTTACACAACCCATATGTATACAAGGTATGAAGCATCAATCTCTTTTACCCTCTGAAATATAGCATTAAACAAATTGGTTATGCCATCGCAGCTCGCATTCTTCGTCTTTTGACACAAGCCAGACAAAATTTACTTGCATGAAGCAAGTAAAATCACAGTCTGTAAGCCTGAAAAGTTATAATATAAATGTCATACATGAAACATGAAGAAAAAGTTTACGAGTAGTCCAATACCAAACTCATAAATGATGATATAAGTTTGTTTTCTACATGGTTATTTCGACAAGAGACATATACGCCTCTGGTTCAAATTTAGGAATTTTTACCCATTTTAGCCGTTTACCTATAATGTCAGTATTGGCACTTGGTGTAGTCAATAAGATGCATACACAAAATTATCTTCCCTACAGTATGTGTACAACTATCTTTATTGTCTTCAATCAAATCACTTCCTTGTTTCAAACTTCCGGGTTAGCAGTACTAATCAATCAACAAAGACGGAAAAGCCCCAAAAATATCCGTACACTTTTTCCAGAAAAGACAAGATTTAAATTGAAAAAAAAAATCTTTATTTCAGCCACTAAAGTTCCATATATATATATAACGTTATATATATATCACAAAATATTCTGTCTAGATAGGATAAGATGTTAAAATATGTACAATATCAAATAAATACTTATAGTTAAGAATCTTAGAATTAAGATGATTATATTCATCTGGGACTATTAAACTAAGTTATTATAATAGTCCCAGTATTCACATTTATATATGATTATCAACATTATTGTGTCAATTATCTAACTCGCTGTAATAAATTAATTTGCTCTTCACGGGCCGTTTGATTGGAATAACATGTCTTGAACATTGATAGTATACTGCTTGTTGGGACTAATAGTGGAGTGACCAAGTCGAGGAACTCCTTACATACTTTTGGCTTAATATTTTATATACAGTTTATGTCTCTACAATAATTAATAAATGTTTTAAAGGGACTATAAGAGCCTCATACGGCAGTGTTAATTCTGGAACACCACGATTAAACTGTTCACAAATAAGAATATGTTAACTGTATTGGGGAGAATAAACTCAATAGTCGACAAATATGTCATATAGCCCAACTGAAGTTAATAACTTATCAACTGTTGCTTTAAACAAGATGAAATCCCATGACTTACTGATATTCTTATAATGTGGGAATATAAAACGTCTGCCATAGACCATTTTTCTTATTGGGCAATAATAAACTGTCAGTGCCGTGTTGCTAGGTTTGGTGTATATCACCGGAGCGTACGTGGACTTGAAACGTATTTACAAATTTGAATTCTGGTAATCTTTTGTAAAAGATGAACCAAATTGGGAAATTTTTGTCAAGTGTTTTCTGCAGAAATGGGTATCTAAGTTTTAACTTGAAATCTGAGCTTGAAATAAGTCGAAGAAATATCCAAGACATATCAGATGTATAAAAAGAAGATGTGGTATGATTGCCAATGATACAACTCTCCACAAGAGATATTGTGACTTGGATGGAGAGTTGTCTCATTGGCGCACATACCATATCTTCTTATTTATACTGACATCTTTAAACTTGATTTTGAAAAAGGCATTTGATACAGTACCTCGTGAACTTCTAAAAAGTAAGGTCAGTAGATATTGAGTACGAACAAACATATTAAATTGGATAGACTCGTTTTAAATACAGAGGACACAATGATTGGTAGTAAATGGATGCAATTCAAAAACAACACCAGTGCTTTCAGGTGTCCTGCAAGGCACTGTCTTCAGTGGAGGATCCAGGGGGGTTCCGGGGGTAGCACCCCCTTTTGTTGGACGACCTATGCATTTGAATGGGGACATATGGTTGGAACCCCCTTTTAAAAACGGCTGGATCCGCCCCTGGTCTTGGATCCGATATTAATTCTTATACAAATCAACTAAATTTCTAAGAATAATACATCCTAAATCAAACTATTTGCCGATGACTGCGTTTGCTATAGATAAATTAGCACCATCAATGATTGTAACAAATAACAGGAAGGTATAGACAGCAACAACATGGTGTATGAGATTTTAACCAGTCAAATGTCACATGATGACACTAAGCAGGAAGAATAGTAATGTAGAATTTGATTATACTCTGAAAGGCACCAAACTGGTATTTCTCTAGTAATCAAATATCTTGGCGTAAACATCAAAAGTAACTTACAATGTGGAAAACAAGTTGAAGAAATCTATAACAAAGCATACAGAACACTGGGATCCCTATCAAACGTATCTCCAGGAGAAATGATAAAACTTAAAAAAAGAGCGGCCCCCTTTAATTCAACAAATTACAGAGATTATAAATCCAGAACAATAATAGCAATTTTGAAACATCTCAATTTACCCACAGTGTAGGATACTACTTCTATATAAAGTACTAAACAAAAAATATACCAACAGAGCAATACTGAAAATATCTGAAAAATATTCACCACTGAAATCCATGCATATACATCATTTCCTCAGACCACCATCAAGAACAGACTCGCTCAAATTTAGCCTTATCCCGAATACCATTTAACTGGAACTCAATACCACCGGACATTTTTGACAAGATAATTAGAATCTTCAACAGACCAAGTCATATTTTTTTGTTTTATTTTTCTCAAAACAGATAACAGTAAATTAAGAATACTATCAGGCGCGTAGCTACGTTTACGTCAAAATGTCCGGGCGTACATGAGACAACTCTCCAACAAGAGACCAAATTACACAGAAATTAACAACATAGGTCACCATTCGGCCATCAACAATGAGTAAAACCCATACCGCTGTAGTCAGCTATAAAAGGCCCCGAAATGTCAAATGTAAAATAATTCAAACGAGAAAAGCTAACGATTTATATGTACAAAATAATGAACGAAAAACAAATATGATACACAGCAACAAACGACAACTACTGAATTGCAGGCTCCTGACTTGGGACAGACACATACAAAATGTATTAATGAATGTATTAATAAATTATTAAAAGTGACGAAATTTACTATTAATCAAATGGTATCATATTATATATATTATTCGTTCATTTTCTGTCAAAGTCTGAATCTACTATGAATTCTTATGTTTCCTATTGTATAAAGCAATTCATTATCTGCTGAGATACGATACGTAGTTTGCATTTTTGTCGAGCCTGCGACATGTATGTCTCGAAAGCGAGACATAGCTTTAATATTATAGATTCTATCGGCGTCGGCGTCGTCAACATGAAGGTTGAGTTTGTGTTTTAAGTTTTTTTTAAGCATCAACAATTTTGTCAACACTTTATGGAATTTTATGAAATTTTGACAGAAGCTTTTTATGGTCAAAAGACAGTATCCAGAGCATAAGGAATTCCTTGCTACGCCACTGACTCTTACATTTACTGTCATATGGTATGGCTTTGTTGTAAATAATTCGCTTCGTTATTTTTCTTCCTTCTTTATATTGTTTGGTAGTCGCCCAGTTGCAAATATTTCATGCATATTCTAGACAAGAACAAAACAATACGTAAGCTATTTGATCACGATAGTGCGAGAACTCTCATGCTGTCGAAAGTGTGACTATTGAGTAAGGAGGTCCCTCATGGGGGTGTCCAAGTAATCACATAATCACAAATGTTTTGCCAATGTTATCACATAATCATTAATTATTTTTTTAAACAAGATAATCAAATAATCAAATATACAGTCCTAGATTATCAAATAATAGAATAATCATGAAATACTTGGTCTGGTAATCAAATAATCACGATAAAACACGGCCAAGTAATCACATAATCAAAAACCCCATGAGGAGGCTCAGTAAGTACACAAATTTCCCCTTGTAACTTGTCAGCTTAGCACTGGAGTTGTTCAAATTGTGTTAGGAAATAAATGTATGATTATTTCTATATAGATTCAAATCAGGTTGCTGTAATGAAAACTAGATATCAGGTGTACGTCTGTTTATAACAATTTCGCCGGTTAGTTCGTACTTAAGACTTCGATTGGTATACATACTTATATATATTGTTAAGAATAAATAATATATATTAAAAAAAATATTTCTCGTACTTCTTATTTAGAATTAAAATGAATGTTCTTTCTTAATTATAATTTGTCCCTAGGCTACGTACTTTTTTATGCTCGATTTGAGATCAAAATTTAATTGTTCAACAAGACTGTGGTCAAATGAATTTGTGAGTTGTTTTAATGCCGAGGGTGTGTCAAGTTGTTTTGTTGGTTCTCATTGGTTTCATGTTTTGTGACCCTCATTTTTTTACCAGTGGAAAACTTCCCGCCGAAATGTTTCAAATACTCCTTTGTCTTTAAACGAACAAGTCGGACATACTTCAGAGAAGTAAACAAGTTTTGATGTGATCCTTGTAGCTGTTCGTATCGCCACACATACAAGGTAGATATTTGCCCGGATTATTTTCGTTTTATTGATCAAAACCCGCCTTATAAAAACATCTTCTCTCATAAATTTTGGATAAATCATATGATACATATATCATCTGACGTTGAATTATTTTTTTATATACAAGATGACCCTTTCCAAAACCCCCATTTTGTTTATTGTTAATCAAGTTTCTGCTTTTTAGGACAGTCGTTTCTATTAACTTGATCGTCCTTAATATGCATGAAATATTTGTCACGAAAGTCATGCAAGTCGAAGGAAAATAAATTTATTATTGCCATCACTTTTTTAAAAATTCAAATCGAATGAACCTTTATCAGGGGTCAAGGTCAAAGTAAGCGGAAGATGGTTATATCCGAGATTTATTGCGCATGCATCTTTTTAAATTTGGACGGAATTTCACGATTTCAGTTTGCAATTCCTTCACAAATGCTACGTTGAGCATCGATAGAAAATACCAGAGAGTTAATGGGTTTTTTTTCAGCTATTGGCCATAAACAAGGGTAATAGCATTTTCGAATCTGAAACAGACGAAAAATATTACAACAAAAGATCAGTAGAAATGTGTTCATTCTTATTATACCCCACGCAACGAGTTGCGGAGGGTATAATGTTTTTGACCCGTCCGTCAGTCCTGTTTCTTGTCATCGCAACTCCTCTGAAACCACACAACAGAATTTCATGAAACCTTTTTAGATAATAAGAACATACTACGTAGATGTGCATATCGACAGGAAATTACGATTCATTTTTTTTTCTAGGAGTTACGCCCCTTTGAACTTATTTGCTTCAATGTACTTCTGCAACAATTTGTCATCTCCACTCTTCTGAAACCACACAACAGAATTTCATGAAATTTTGTAGATAAGAAGGACATACTATGTAGATGTGCATATTGACAGGAAATTATTATTCAATATTTTTTCTTATACAATATTTTTTTGTTACACTTATTTAATTTCTCCAATGACAATGTGGGGACGTGGGGTATGTGAGCATGCTCACTAAGGTTCTTTAATTTTTAAAATGAACGAGTGACATT